CTCTTCTCTCTCTCTGAGATGCTACATCCCGAAACCTAAATCTGCAACGGGCAGATTAAGCATATGGGAGCTTCCGAACATGAGGGGTACATTATTTTTGGGTCCCTAGAATCACGATCCTACTATTTAGGGTACTATATAAGGGTCCCCTATTTTCAGAAACTCCCGTATGCCTTGGGGTCATGCTGAAGTGATACGACAGCTGCGCTCCACGGTCCGCATGAAAACTTTCAAGCACCAACCCTGGGCTCAGAGACCCTCAAAGATGGGTTGCAACAGCACTTCTCCAGGCTTCAGGGCTTAATGTAGGGGCCTTAATAATTAGAATAGGGTTTCGGAGCCCAATATAGTTCTGTTAGAATAAGGAACCCCCAAAATTTGTATAGGTAATTGATTAGGCCCCTGTCTTACGCTTTCGCAACTCGGACAAGCCAGACGAGGTCTACCTCTTCAGTCCGTAGACACGCAACAAAGACAGCTTTACTGTCTGGTGCTTAGTAGGGAATGGGTTATTAGGACTCTTATAGGGGACGTTAAGGGGCTACCATAGGGATCCATTCCCCCATTCCCTACTAAGCACCAGACAGCTCAAGTCCACAGTGTAGTGACAAGGCAAAGTACTTTTTGAACGTTTCCCTACCACTGCAGACTCAAGGCCAAGCAACTTGAGGATTTCTGCAAAATCAACCCCCGAGTACTGCTAACCTACACGAATAACAGATGCACTCAGGGTCAAAATCCAACAGAACGAACTCACGGCAGCACACACAGCGAGAATGGATTAGCGGAGTCTGAGAAACCGTAGCTTACAAACCCAAAAAGGCTACCAACACTGGAAAGTTTTCAAGCAAGGCTTCCGGCTGAGAGTTGAGAGTCTTGTTAAGTTGCGGGTGGGGCTAGTGTCAGCTGCGACTGCGGCGTCCTCATTCCAATACTCCGGTCTGGCGTGGCCTGTCGCCATCTCTAGGGCAGGTCTTTCTCTGCAAGGCACAAGGACGTTTAGGGTTTAGGATTTTGTAAAGAACTGCATGTTGACGAATCTTGACACTGAGACTACGTACCTGCTAACACTGGTGCGTCATGGCAACGTGGCAGGTGGGACCCAGCAGATCCTGAATCCTAACCCTGCCCAGAATACCTCAAAGCCTCAATCCGGATACGCTTGCAGCCGTGCCTGTCACAGAGAGGTTGCCTCGGTGTGAAATTGAAGCTTAACATAACAAATTCGGGGGTACATCGTACTTTCGGCGCTCACATTCGGACGAACCAGGCAAGGCAGAGTCTTAAGGGCTCTCGAGGGTTTCGGGCTAATGGGTTCAAGTTAATACCATAACAATAATACCAATAATAATACTAGTAATAACAAGAACAAAGATACTGATATTAAGAGCAATAAAAATCATGATAATTAGAACACTACTACTAAGAAGCATGGTAACAAGAAGAAGAAGAAGAAAAGGAAGGAAGGAAGGAAGGAAGGAAGGAAGGAAGGAAGGAAGAAGGAGAAGGAGAAGCAAACCCCACCCCATTATCCGCAATAGATCCCTCTTGCGGTTACTTAAACCCAAGTTCCTCTACGAGAACCTCAGGATCTTGGAGGTCCCAGAGCCCTCGGCCCCCCAAGATCCTACATGCAAAAGGAACTGTATAAGATAGATTGGTTTAAAGCCGAAATCTGTCCCCTGCGTTTTTGCTGTTTACTGCTTTCAAGACATCAAGGCAGCGGATACAGATCGGCTTTTTTTAACAGAAAACTTTCGGTTTGTGTGCTTTTTTGGTTTTGGGCTATTGTCATTGAATGCAGTCTGCTGCTGTGGTTTTTCATGAACGAAGGTACAACAGTGAAAACGCATGGGCCAGTTTTCGGCCTCAAACCGATAGATTCTACAACACATACTCTGTGCTAGAGATTATGCAGTCCATATGCTAGACCCTACTTTGCATAGTGTATGTTATTTTGAGATGTATCGTGTAGTATGAACGCGGACGCAAAAGCCCTGCCAAGGCTGCTGTCGAGTCTCGACCACCATCCGACCTCGCGAGCCTGCCCAAGTCAGGGTAAGGGGTTTTTACAAGGTCTAAGGTTTATTTAGGGGGGTTTATGTAGGGTTTTGGCTTTAGGGCGTCGGGTTTAGGATTTTGGTGTTTGGGATTTAAGGCTTCCCTCTTTGGGGCATTCTTTCTTTCCCTGTTTCTTTGGGGCATTGGGTTAGGACAAGGGCTTACAGGATGGTTTAATGCAGTTTGTACGGGCTTAGAGCTTTGGTCAGGGTCTGGGGCTTCGAGTCTTTTGGATGTTTTTAGGACTGGTAGGGGGGACTATATCATAGGTATCAAGGCCCAAACCAAGTCTTTGGAGCTGTTGGATCTTAAGGATTGAGCGCTCGGGTTGGGGCCGAGGGTTTCCAAGGATCTCAGTGCAGGTTTGAGGCTGCAAGGGTCTTCCGGAAACCTCAACTGACACAGCACGGAAGCAACAGTACACACCTCAGGGTAACCCGGGACACCCTTCGAAGTTTGTTGAGGGTTCCGGGCTACATCACTAAACCGTTCTTGTACAATAACATATTTACAGGAAGCTTTAAGGGAGGCCAATTCTAATTGGTATTCCGGCTATTGCTTAAGCCCGAAAGTTGAAAAATCATGAGCCTTGTGCAAAATCATCCGTATCCCATGTTCCAACTTCCTGTATACAGGTAGGGTCCACCCTAAACCCTAAACCCTCGGAATGTCTGTCTTGGGCACTTACATTAGCACCTCGAGCCCTCAACCCTTGCCTTGGTTCGGCTGCCCTCAATCAAGAGCCACATGCATCCTCCAGCCTTGCCCTAAAAACCCTGACATCTACACCGCAAACCCTGACATCTAAACCCCGAACCCTGGAATTTAAACCTTACCCTGACTTCTAAACCCCAAGCCCTGAAACCTACACAACTACCTCGACCCTGAAATCCAAGGGCAAACAAACGAGCTTTGGCAGCTAAAAGGCAGACCGAGGCGCTTGACGAAACGATGCAGCCTTTGCCGCACACCAGGGGTCTGCTCTGCTTCCATGCCTGGTGTGGAGAGGTAGAACATCTGATATAGTACTATTTTCGCAGAATGCCATATTAGGTAATGTGACAAAAAGCACGGTACAATGTGCAAGTAGTTGGATAGAACAGAAAAAATACCAAAACTGTGTTACGATATGAATGACATAAGCAGTAGAGCATAATCTAGCACAACCCAAAACAAGGGGTTATACAATGTCGTGTATCAGCATACTGCACTATAGTATGTTCTCATACTTTTTACTATAACATATTAGACAAAGATATTTGCATTCCTTACTACTATATCATAGAAAAGTGTACCCACTACACCACAAAAGACTACTGCATGTTATGGCATGCCTTTTTACCCTCTGCAATGCTACACCGATATCGGACTGCTTTAAAACATGCTAAGTCATGCCGTAGTTTTCATTGTGTGTTGCATTATGACAGGGGCAAAAGTTTTTCTCGCGAATAAAGTCATTATGTCGGTATACTCCAGGTGCTATAGCACGCCACATCACGTTAGTTTGTGCCATGATGTGATTTACTGTATAGTACCGTAGTGTGCTGAATTGCCCAAAATTTAATAGGGACCATAAGTTACAACACATGATTCAATATACGTATGTGTATATATGCATACTTATGTAGTGCATAGTTAAGTTATAACCTATACATAACACAGCATATAACATGATACACAGTAGGCAGTAAATAGGAAGAATATAAATTTCTTACTTTTTGTTTGCCTTCTGCACGGCTGAATACCAAAAACTATTGCAAGACAAAACACATACAGCACAATCGACAAGGTACAATATTTAACATAAAAAACGAATGACAATGGTGATTGCTGTTGGCGTGATACTGATAAGAGCGAAAAACAGGATAATATTCCTTCGTCTGGTGTTGATAAGAACAATAAAGAACAACTGGGTAATACAAGTCTACATCTATACTATATATAAACTTCTTGCGGACGCAACGAAGGGAGGTCTTCGCCGAGCGGGTCAGAGCATATCGCGTTTTGCGATACGATGCCTCTTATGGGCAATGAGCCATGACAGAAGTGTCAATGGCTAGTGCACTACACTCTACTCGTAGTCTCATCTCCATCCTGGCATGCAACATACCAAATCAAATAAGTTTCTGCAGGGATAGCGGCAATCTCGGATGCTGTGCAGGCTCGAGCTGTGCGTGAGTCGTCAAGAAGCAGCAGAGTATCGGCGCTTTTCCAGACACATATGTAGTGCCCCTGATCAACGGTCGCTCCCCGATGCAAAATCAGAGCTGCAGCCTTAAAGCGACGAGGATGGGCATCAAGATTGTGTGTATTGCAGAATTGTGGGATCTGGATGTCATCAAGGAGGCCAGTGATGGGTCTAAGGTCCTTGCCAACAGGTCGTCGGCGCTGGGTGTGCATGGCACGAGTTCGAAACCTGAGAAGCTGTATTCCAAGAGTATTGACAGCTTGATAAGGAGCAAGTGCATGAGTCTTGGACTGCTGATGCCAGGCCCGAACACAATCGGCCAAGCTGGTATGCCCCTGAATTGGCAGGGGGAGTGCATGATGCAGGCTTCCCTCATCGTGCAGCTGCAGACCGTGGCCTGCATCCATTCGGCGGGCTTCCCACCTCCCCTCGACGGAGGGTAGCCGCAGTCTGCACAGCATATGAGCAAGGAATTCGGCAGCATCATTTTGCACAAATAACCGTGGCCATGGACTCATCATCATCACCCATGATAGGTTGTGACTTGGATCAAAGTTCTGAGGTTGGCGCTGGATAGCACCCCAGAGGTGACACAATTGTCCAAGAGCAGCCTGATCGCGCGGTCGAAGGACTGCTAACACATAAAGAATGGCATGCAAGGCACTATTCATATAGCATGTGGCAGCACTCGGATTTGCAAGGCTGATGGAATGCAAAGGAAATCCAAGGAGGAAGCATTGAGGAGCAGACCTCACCAGACCTGGGCCTGGATGCTCTGGGCTAGGCCCGAGTACGGATAGCGGTTCCGCCGGAGTCGGGCGGCAAGAAGGTGGAGCGCTGCACTGCCGATGAGATCGTTGAAAATAGTCCACAATTTGTCGCCTGGTCCGCGTAGCTGAACTTCCACCAGGAACTGCACCCAGTCCGTTTGATATGACTCGCGGAGTTGTCTCATGGACTTGAAGTTCTTGATTGAGTCTCCCGTGATCAGCTCCTCCATCTCCTGGATCATGGTCAAGATCTCTTCGGTGGACCTGGATTCCTGGCGCTCCGTCAGAACTAGTTCCTGCTTGATCGGGCACCAATGCATGTAGTTCCAATGCCCCAGGCTGTCCAACCACTGCAGGCGTTGTCCTGTGATCTTGGTCTCCTCGCTCTTCTGGAAGGCCTGAAGGCGGGTTTTCCACTCCCTGAGCAGACCCCGGATCATAATCTCCCGTAGTGACATCGTGAGCTTTGTCGGAGTGGTTTCCATCGTCTGTCTCCATTCCGTCGCGAGCTGCAGCATCATCGGTAGCACGGAGTACTCCTGGTTCGGTTTGAGATACAGGAAGAGTCGAGTGTCTTGTTGGAGGATATGAAGTTGCTGCTCGTGCCGCAATGTCATTCGGGCAACCTGCATCAACAGGGTGCTGGAAGACTCCGCTGTGGTCAGGCTCGGCACGGACCATCCGCTCATGCTCCACGAGTCCGGATCGGTCCATGTATCCAGAGTCCAGGGATCCGTGCGATTTGTCACCTCGGTGGAGGACTGTGGACCCTTGCTCTTGCCTTTGCCCTTGCCCTTGTTCTTGCCTGCATGCTTGCGCTGCCCCTTGACCTTGCCTTTGCCCTTGGGGATTGATGTCGGTGTGGCTGTCGATCGAGGAGGGGAGGCTTCGTCGGGCACTGGAGTCATGACAGCATCCCTCTGTTCGGGTCGTGGGCGTTTCTGCGCAGCCTGGCCGCTCGTTGCCGTGTTGCTGAAGCTGTTGAAAAGGTGGCCAAACATCTCCAACTCCTGATTTTTGGCATTGATCGAAGCCTCCGGCTGTGGCGGAGGTGTCGCCGCCATGTTGCCCGTGGCTGGCAGGGTCATGACTCCTATGTTCAAGATAACAGGCAATAGTTATGACCGGACATCGCTTCCAGTGTTGTTGAAGATCGAAACGTGTGGCCAAGCAAAAGTGACAGGGCTTCGTAAGGGTACTTCTTAGCAGTCTCGCCCTCTTGAGAATGAAATCTTGCGAGGCAAGCCATTGTGGATGCTCGTGCATCAAATGGACTTTGAGACCGGCAGGAGAAGAGCACCACTGTGAGCACTCAGGGCAGTGGTGACGAACCTCATCACGTAGCTCAGGATCCTGCATAACGACCTGCCATCCCCGGGTGCGAATCCGCTGCATGAGTTCAACACGTTGCACCATTGGGACCACGGCAGCCGGACCAACTCGCTTTTGCCATTGTGGATTGTGAGCTTCAGCCTGGGTTCCCGAACCAGGCTTACGCAGTCCGAGCTCAGTGACTGTGTCCTCTCGCTGCTGAGGTGGATGGGTTAAGCCTGAGGTTGGGACCGATGCATCAGCGAGGCAAGCCTGGGGTGCGGGCTGTGCGATGTCTGGTGAGTCGTCAGGCGGTGCAACAGTCTGCACCGTGGTGGTGAGTGCACTTGTGACACTCGGAGCAGTGGGCAAGGCATTAGCCGGACCTGTAGGGACAGGAGATTCGCAAGGCTCCGACCTCGTGGTTGGAGCAGAGGCAGAGGCTGTGTGGGACTTAGCAGGATTGATATGCGGATCAAGCTTCGGGCACCATCCTTGTTCAATGTGAGCACGGAGACCAGTCCACCTGGAAAAGCGTTTTTGGCATAGCCGGCAAAGGGAAGACCCGCTGTGGAATGTTGCAAGCGATCGAAGCTAACCTGATGCCTTCGTGTTGGGGCTTTGAGGCCATGAGCTGTGGACTGATGCATCCTGAATAGTCGATAGTTGTCAAAGACCGCTGAACAATCGGGACACGTGAAGGTGTGTGCAATGGGAGGTGCAGAAATGGATCCGGGGTATGTGGTAGAATCAGCAAGTAAATGGTGCTGTTGCAACCAGTTCACGGTGTCTTGCTGTATCGCTCCTCCACATTGTAGCTGCTGCAAGTTGGCAAGTAGCCTTGCTTGAGACTGCTGCAGAACGTCGCGCATAGGTTTAACCTTGAGACGTTCGTAGAGCGCCTCAGTGGTTTCATGTGTGAGATGTGAGGGGGCTTTGGCGACTGCACGGAGCTGTCTGGTAGCGACAGCCTGGAGCTGATTGATTTGCCTTTCCGTCAAATTCAACACATGTAGGCCATAGGTTCAAACAGCGGGAATACAGGCTGCCCAGAGCTTGAGCCGGAGGCTCAATCTGGGGGCATTTGCACACGTGAGAAGTGGCCGAAGGTGTCCATATGCAGTCCAGGCGGCTTGTATGCGATGTGTGATGGAGCTTGCCGCTGGCTGTTGATAGGAGATGATTAGGCCTAAGTAGTTGTGCTCATCTTTCACTGGAATGTGGAATTGACGTCCTGCTGGTGTCCGTAGAGTCAGGAGTAGGCCCTCCTTTGTCTGCCGAACATGACGTCTTTTCCACGTTGCAGCAAAACCTTTGGTGAACCGCAACAAGAAGGCTGACTTCAGGGTATTGATGTTGAGTTCAGCATCCATCAGCACATCAAGCAGGTGTCCCAAATTGATAAGGAGTTTGTCAAGTTGTGCAGTGGTTGTAATCAACTCGCCACCATGGATATCATCCGCGAAAGCGGTGATCATAGCTCGGACCCAATGGTGATCTCCTATGCGGTCACCCAAGTCATGCAGCAGCACAATTGTGGCCATGCTCCACACTAATGGAGAGATTCTGCAGCCCTGCCGTAATCCGCGCCCTGCTGGGATTCTCGCCTTCATCCCCTGTATCGTCAGGTGGTAGGTGAGACCTTTGTGCCAACAGATCACCAACTCGCGGACTGATGTCGGGACTTTGGCTAGCCGTAATGCCCTATCAATCAAGGCCCAAGGTAACACATCAAAAGCGTTCGATAGGTCCAAGCTCAGTTGTAGGCCTCCTCCTGATGCCAAGGGCTTGGCTGCAGGCGCGAAGCGAGAGTCAAGAATGTTGTAGGGTGCAGGGGTGCACATTTCAATGACCTTCTCACAATGTGCAAAGACGCGTGACAAAGCAGCGTCTGTGGATCTTCCTGGTGCATATGCGAACTGCGGTTCCGCTGCCAGGAGTTCGACCAAGTAAGGTCGCAGCTCTTTTTGGACCAGGCCGGCAGCAACACGTCCAGAAATTTCAGTGATGCCGAGTGGGCGCAGGTCCTTGGGTTTCATGGGATGTGTCACTTTCGGTAGCAAGCTCATCCAAGCATCGCGCCAGTCGGATGGCACCTGGTCAAGATGTGAAATTTTGTGATGTAGCCATGGTGCGAGCTCTCGAGCACATAAGACCCAAGAACTGCTTGTCGCCTTGCCTGGAGGCGCAGCTTTATGCGGCGGTAGCTTCAGCAAGCCTTCAAGAACATCGGTGACAGTAAAGTCGGGGAAGGAAATGGTGGGAGATGTCGTAGGTAGAGGCGGACCAGTGGAGGAGATCGTGGTGTCAGTGGTGTCCGGAGAGGCATACAGGGCCTCATAGTGTTGTCTCAAGCAATCCAGTTGTTGCTGGGGCGTCCAAAGCTCGCCCTGGGGCCCTCGCAGTTGAAGGCGCGGGCGCCGTTTCTGCGGAGCGAGACTGGCGGCAAGACGGAAGAGTGCCCTAACGTCTCCTTTGTCTGTGGCCTCTTGCATACTCTGTGTAAGTGCCTGCATCTGTGCCGTCTTGGCAGCCCGCGTGGCTCGCCTGAATTCGCGGTGTGCTCGCTTGAACTGACTATAGGCGCGCCAGGCAGAAAAGAGTCGTTGCCGGCCTGGTGGGGGGTGCTTCCAATCCTTGTAGGCGGCCCACATTTGTCGAACAGATAAAGAGACGGTGGGGTGCTGCCAGGCACCTGTCTTGGCAGTTGGCTTTGTAGAGGGGAAGAATCGAGTGGACACATCATGCAGGTACTGATTGACTTCAGAGATGGTGCGACAGGGATTAGCAGCAAGCCAGTTCCGTACATCCTGTCGAAAGGCCTGTGCCCTTGGGTCCACATCTGAGCGACAGACCCTGAGGAGCTCCGCTTTATCGATAGAAGACTGGGGCTGAGTTCGCCTTGTAGTGTAATGTCTTGTAGGGATCGGGACGCTGAAGAGAACTGGCCAATGCCTGCCGCCACCTCGCCAACGTGCGAGGGGCCAGTCCACGGGACCAGCCTGTCGAGCTTCAGTGTCACTCTGGTCTTGCCGCAAAAATACATGATCAATGAGGGTGTTTCCCTGAGGCGACCGATACGTCGCCCTAGCTCGCCTGGTCCACGAATTGAGGTGTAACAGCCTGAGGCCTTGCACGACATCCATCATTTCTTTAGAGTCTGGCTGTGGTCTCTTCATGAAGGGAGCAGCTCTAGCACCAACCAGTCGTGCATTGGGTTGGAGGCTGGTATTAAAATCCCCAGCTACAATCCAAAGGCTCCGCCGTGGGAGGCTTCCAAGGAGCTGGCGCCAGGATCGCCAAACAGTACGTCGAAGTTGACGCGAGTCGTTGGTCTGCGGATCTTTGCCTTTGGTCAAGCTTGTGGCCCAAACTTTCTGATAAAGGTTGATCAGATCAAGCTGGCATGCAGAGCCTAGCTGGACGCGGGCGTGGAGTAGCCGACCTGAGATGGGTGAGGCCGTGAGGATGGAATTTGCATCGCAGAGATCAACAGAGATCAATATGGCAACACCACCGGATGCCGCAGGTTCGGCCGGTGTGGATACGATGTGCCACTGGTCAGTAGAGTAATCGGAAGGTGTTTTCCAATGCGTTTCTTGCAAGAAAATCACGTGAGGTCGGACAGTGGGGTGTTGTTCCGCAAGAAAGTGCATCAGTTCCGCATACGCATCCTGACTGAGTCCTCCAATGTTATACGTGACACACCGGAGGCGACAAGGGTCCACAAAGGAATGAGCCTCGGATTGAGTGGGGGGGCATACTGACATTGGGGCAGGACTGCGGTGTAGAGCCTGCGCGCGAAGCGTATGCAAGGAGTGCCATCGACCCTTATAAAACGTGCCCTGCAGTGGGCTGGCTGTTGCTCGTTGAACTGCCCGATTATAAGCTCGCTTCCCCTGTGGGGTGGGTAAGGAAGATCGGGGTGTGGGAGAGCTTGCAGCGGCAACAGAATGTGCAGGGGTGGTCCATAGGTGGCATGCCAGAGCCAGCCGCCCAAGGATGCGAGTAAGGAATGGTAGTTGTTGGCTTGGTCTAGTTCGACTTGACAGGCATGCCGATGCACGGTGATGACAAGCAGGTGTTCGGGAAGGCTCCTCGCTGGAGCAAAAAGAGGTCCTTAAGGCAGGGGTCGTGGCTACGACCGAGGCCTGTACAGGTACAGGCTGCCTGGGACACTGAGGAAGAGCAGAGGTAGTGCAGCTAAAGTGGCGGCTTCGTGAAGCGGCACCGGATTGGGTTATCCCGAGCTTCCCTCCACTGTTATCTGGACAGTTAGTGTGACACGAGATCAGCTTGAACAGCAACAGTGAAGGTTCAGAGTGCGGTGGGTTCCAGCACTCAACCCTCGGCTCAGTGGAGGAGTCACAAAATTCATCCCTGAGAGTCCCATGATGGACAAGGTGTCGGCATATATCGGTGACTTTCAAGATAGAATCGTTAGCACCTCCATGCCCGGATTTGGGACCGGGCTCAGCGACTGAAGTAGTGTATATCGTTGGTGCGATGGGTCCATAAAGGAGGGAGAGACACAACAAGACATTTGATCGTGGTCTACACCCTGAGTGCAGACATGCTAAGGGTGCGGCAGCAATCGCACCGAGGCCACGGGACACGAAGTACGAGCCAACCTGAGAAAATCGGTTGCCAAGAAGCCGAGCAGAAGACCACAACTCCAAAAAGAGGCAAAGGTGTTGGAAGAAGCACTGACTCAAACTAAGCTTGCCAGCATATTGAGGAGAGCGTGGCCGGCGAGCTGACCTTTGTGTTCGAGTGGGAGATTTAATTCTCGAAACGCGCAATTGACGTCCGAAGCACATGCGGGCAAGGGAGGATATACAAAAGTATGTGCAGGGGCTCGCCATATAATCCTCCATCGCAACAGCACTGTCGGTTGTGTCAGGCACAGATGAGGCCGACGTCTGGGTCTGCATGGACCCAGCACTGGCCGAAATCGAATCCCCTGTGGCTGTGCCTCGCTTCGGGGTCTCAACAGAAGTCTCATCTAGGCCGATGTTCAGCCACTTGCTTCGTCGCTTTGGGCGACTTGCCGGGTCAGGCTTGTAGTCAGGGTCGTACACGTCGGCTGTCTGTGCAGGGCGCGGCTTGGGACCGATTTTGGATTTAGGTCCCCGCTTCTTCTTCGGTGGCTGTGTCGGTCCACGGGTGGTTGCATCGCCTTTACTCGTGGTGGTCTTTTTGGTCCGCTTCAGAGGGTGAGTCTGCCTCCTTTCATCCGAAGTAGAAGTAGGCAGCGGTACCGTGGTGACCACGGTGTCCTGGACAGGAGGCTGAGTCTCTGGAGCCGTGGTAGAGATGACTTCCTGTGGGTCGGCACAGTCGGAGTTCAGTGTAGAGGGCTCCTTGGAGACTGAAGTCTGTGGAGGCGATGGTGGTGCAGAAGGCCCATGGGAGGACAGGCCTGCCGGGGCCGGTCTCTTCTTAGGCACTGGTTTCGGCAGTTGGTAGGGAATCCCAGCCGGGGTGATGCCCTCCGCAATCTCCTCGTTAGCCACTTGTGCCGGCCGTCGTCGAGGTAGAGGCGTGCGACCAAGTGGGTCCTCGGTCTTGGAGCCAGATGCCCCGGAGGCCTCGGTGGCTGGGGTCGAAGCAGTAAAGGTGGCATCAACCGGTGCCATCCCCGTTGCCATAGACGAGGCAGCAAGTGTCGTTGGCGGCGGCAGTGGTCTCACTAACCGAAGAACCAAGCTGCCAACCGTCATTTCGCTTGGGAACTCTCCGAGTTCATCTGAAAAGGAAGAGAGAGTGGATGGGGAGGATTCACTCTCTCCATCTGTGCAGAGCTCAACTCCTTGATGCTGCTTCTTGGCCGGCCTGCTGGCATGCTTGGCTCTGCGACGAGGTCGGGTCGTGGTCTCTTCATGCGCGTTGCTGGGCTTCATAGACGCGGGGCATGGATTGGCATCCAAAGGCTGTCCGGTTGCTTTTGTCATAATGGCTGCACATCCAAGTCCGGCGAATGAAGTCTCATGAGAGGAGGAGGGGCCAGCAGACTCCCGTAGGTATGGGCGCAGATACACCGTCGTGGGCGGAGGGTGTCGCGTTTTCCACCGGATAAATTTGAGTCGCTGAACCTCATTGGGTGTGAGTTGTGCCTCGGCACTCGGCGGCCCAAAGGGCTCTACCCAATACTCTCCACCAGCTGGTTGAGTTGGCAACCCGTATACACTGCTCGGATGGCGTGAGCTTTCCACTGCGACAGAGGTCTCAGTGGTGGCAGGGCTGACTCCTTCGGTGGCCCTGCCAGAGAGTCGCGCAGTTGTTCTATCAGCTGGAGCCTCCTTGTACGGGGAGATCGTCACGACTTCGGGCTCGAGTTCGATATCCGTGTAGAGGCGATTCAGTTGACAGGGCCTCTTGCTTTGTCGCCGTCTCCTCCTCTCTTGTCTGTCCATGGAGTTGGGACCTCGCTGCACCAGTGGGGCGCAAGTGGGAAGGCAATGACCAGGCAGGGCAAGATCCTGCCATAGGCCCCATTGAGAGCCGGAAGAGGAAGACCTGGAGCGCGGGAGCATTGAGCCAACATCAACAAGGTAGTGTGGCTCAGTGAGTGTGGTCAAGCTGCAACATGTATGCGGCATACGAAGCAGACGGCATCTTGAGAATCCGACCGATAGTGGCAGGTAAGGCCACCGTAAGAGCCAGTGCTGGCCCCGCTCTTGGAGTGGACCTGAGGGATCAGAGCCAAAGGGAGGTGACCATAATCCGTGAGCATCGGCTGTGCTCGCGGAGGCAGGCCTGCTTTTCACCAGCACGGAGGGGTGCATAGTCCGTTCTAAGTGTATGGGCCTATCACCACAGGGAGGTGAGACCTCGCATTCTAGCTGTAGGCTCGCGAGATCACTGCGATTGCTGATTAGAGGCAGTTGACGATACGGGGCGCATCGGGCTTCGGCTACGACTCGTTCGTGGAGGTGGCAATGTACCTTGGGCTGACACCTGGCTCGCTGCATCAGAACGGAGCTGATCTTGCCAGCGTCGATAAGCCTGCTCCGCGACTTGGGCCGCATAGAGGAGGTCTCCCTCAGTAGGGGAGTCGGAGCCGACATCCTCCTGTCGAGTGGCAGCCCCTGTGTCCTTGTCAGGATCAATGAACACGGGGAGAGCTGTAGTATCGGCACGTGACTCTCGGTTGGTCCCTGCCATGGTCGCACTCGGCTGTTCGGCCATGATCCGCAAATACAGGTTGCACCAGAAGCTACTGGGGCTGACTGCGGCAAGCACGGTGCTTTGAGGCCCACACGACTAGCGTAAAGAGATGTCCGTGCTCGCCATGTCACAGACTGCTGATATATTGGTGAACCGCACTGGCTAAGGGCAGTGAGAGACCAAGGTGCCGGCTTCCAAAGACCCGTTCGATACGGCGTGCCCACCTCGGAGGCTGGCTGATAGAGCATATCAGGAGACAGGACGTAGCAGGTTGCCATACACCGAGCAAGGAGTGCATCACAAGCATGACACTCAATAACTGGTGGCACTTTTTGCACCCAATGCATGGGGTAGAGAAAAGGAAGTCTCGGCCCTCCAAAAGGGATGCGGTATAGTCGGCTGTTGTTGCTCCTGCAGGAAGAAGAAGGGACTAGAAGTTTACAGCTACCATGTGGAGGATCCGTCATACGGATGCAACCGAATGGTGATGGCCAGAACTGTGCTGGGAGTCGCCGTTTCCAGCATCGAGACATCAATGGGTATCTCCAGGGTAACCTCTTGTCTGCCCTCGGAGCTAGTAAGAACTTGCCCTCGAACAGGCCTTGACGTTGCAGGAGGAACCTCCCAGAACATGGAGTGAGGGCGCAGAGGGCTGCGGCTGCGCGAACGCCGGTCGCCACTCCGGCTGTGTCTGGCACGCCGTACAGGACCAGGTGGTGTAGAACCGATGACCGCAGTCTCAGGTGTGCGTGGCACATGGATACCACCGGCGTCCACGGGTGCCGGTGTCGGAGGGCCGGCCGGTGCTGTGGTCGGGGCTTCCACAAGGTCCGTGAGCGGAGCCCTATCATCGAGTTCCGAGGAGGAAGGATCCGAGTTGGCCATGGCACGCGTAGAGACAGAAAGTTACCGCTCACAGCAATCCAGGATAGCTTCTGGAACACCTCCAGTCGAGCTTGGGCCCTAGCGTCAATATGGAGCTGGCATGAGACACAGTGCCAGGCAGCACATAAGGTAGCTCCAGCCGGAGATAGAAGCTCTGGCTGCAATGAAACGGGCTGTGAGGCCCCGACGTGATACACTGGCCACAGGTGGAAGAGGTTGCAGCACCTATTGAAGGCAAGCGAGGCGTGAGCCCAGTGGGTGCATATCGTCCGCCCTGTTAAGGGCTGTGCACGTGGTAAGCCAATGGAAGACCTGAGAGCAGCACAAGATGCAAACTCAGAGCACAGATGACATGTACTCAACAGTGCAATGTCCCTGCAGGATAGACCAGTGCTCTTTTCATAGGCATCGGGATGAAGTCGGGTTGGTGACGGCAGGTAGAGGTCCCTGCAAAACGACCTCCCTGTATCCCGGGAAGAGATAAAGGCCCTAGCCTCCACAGCTACTATGTACTGCAAGAACGCTTGCCAAGGGAGATCAGCTAGATCACGGCGGTGGTGGTCGTGGCTTCTCCACCAGGGCACTGACACAATGTACTGGATCCCTGGCGGGGGTATCGGCACCATAACGGGGGCGTTCTGCTGGGGTGACATGCTGCGAGCCGTAGCAGTGGAGACCCGTGGCACAGTAGAGGAAGGCCTAGCCACGGCATCCGCAACTGAGACTCCCATCTCCGCCGAGGCCCGTAAGGCTCGTCCTGGATCCGTCGTGAAGGAAGCAGGGATGGATCCTGTCGAAGTAGCTGGATCAGGTGGCGGGGGACCAGCAGGTCGCAAGTGGGAAGCCGAAGTTCCACCCAGCCTTGTAGGCATGTTGACGGGAGTGGGTGGTGGAGGTCCAGCGGGAAGGGAGGGCGCGGCTGGTCCACCGGAGCCGCTGGCTGGCTCGGGCTCAGAGTCTGGGGAAGGTGGAGACGAGGTCTCGCTAGATGATTCCTCCACTGCGGGGGCTGCTTTAGCCTTCGCTTTAGCCTTGCCACGACCTCGACTGCTTCCAGCTTCGGCCACTCGTCTCTTCGCCATTGCCCAGCACTCGGTTCAAGGGAGTGGGGTCGGCCGCAAAGGTCCCTACGCAGAGCCCAATGTGCTAGAGGTGTCTCAATGGAATGCGGCGGAGCAGGCTCAAGGGAGCGAAACACATGGCAGGTCGGACTAGTCCAAAGTGGCAGTGCAAAGTCTGAGCTGAGGACGGGAGTCCAAGCAGGTAATGCGGAATCAGAGTCAGAAGGACCTGGATGCATGGGGAGCCATCTAGCATCATTAGCATGCGAAGTAGATCGACCTTGTGCTAAGGGAGGAACGCCCGACGAGGAGACCTCAAGCCTTGGGCGGTGCAACGGAGATGCAGGTATCATGATCCAAGGCTTGGCATTACCAGGAGCTGAGCCCAGCACACCAGGCGAGGGAGCCTCAAACCTTGGTGGCATCAAGCAGTGAGAGCAATGAGGCCACAGAGGGGTGGCCAAGGCGGCGGCCAAAGGCGAGGAGTCCTCGAACCTAGGCCGGATAGCAAATTCCGGTAGCGACAACGGATGGCCAAGGGAAGAAATACCAGGGCTCAGGCCTTTCAGAGACACTGGGAGTCCAGGAGGTATCCCAAGCAACCCGAGACCCTTGAGACTGTCAATGCAATGGGTCCCTATTTGCACATGCAAGGTAGCAGCAGTCATCGTAGTCGTATGACCTTTTATCCCCAGAGAGCGCAGACTCACTCTAATCCATGGTCTCCAAGTATATGATGCGTGGCAACCTGGAGGGGGGCCAATGTGAGGCTGTCGCATCAGAGCTGGCAACCGGTCGTGAGGCCGCGGCTGAGGCAGGAAAGCTTCATCGTGCCAATCCAGCGTGTTGAGCATAACGGGTCGAGGTACCATTGTCGGCACTTGCAACGGGCAGGCTATGGGCATGGTGCCACCGTCCGTAGGAGTAACCTTTACATTGGAGGATTCCATATGATCAACCGCTGCTGTATAAGCCCCCTGGGTCGCATGCCAGAGAAACGAGCTCCGAGCAACGGATGGAATGGTGAGCCTGGGCCGGTCGCAATCAGCAATAGAGTACGGCTGAGCAAGCTGCCAGGGCTGACCTGATGTGCTTGGCATTGGCCCGTTGCCCTGGTGATTGACACATGCTAGGCAAAAGAGCGCACACAGATGTCCAAAAGCACGTCCCGGTTTAAGTCTGACGCCTGCCGTGTTGCACAAGTGCAGGCCGTGGATCTTGTTGCTTGGCAGGGTGGAATAAAATTCGCCACTCAGTGTAAGTCGACGGACTTTCGCAGGTGTAGCCGAGACCATGGCGGGCAGGACACCCCTGAAGTCCAAAGAGACCCCCAAGCAACAAAAACCACCCCACACAAACACCCAACCAAGCACCACACCGCACCAAGCCCCGAAGGGGCTACCGACTCAGTTTGTTGAGTCGCAGTCGCTGCTGAGCCTTTACTATATATAAACACATACGTACATACATACATACATACATACGTACACATACATACCGTAGTACATATCAAACTTATATAGTATAGTATAAAGTCAAAAAATCTTTAGAATATAGTATATTGACACTACGGAATCTAGCCTATATCTGAGTTCCAATATACTTTGCCTATTGAGGTGGATGGGAATCGAGAAAATGCCCAAACTCCCGCAGCTGAAGCGCGTCCAGGGGTCACGGCTTCGCATCTTTCCAATAACTCCGCCAAGAATCAAAGTCTCATAACCGAGACAAAGGGTCTAAAAGGGCTTCTATAAGGGATCTTTAAGGGTACTATATTAATGTAGGAACCTGATTAAGAAACCTTGGGCATTTATTCGGGTTCCTTAGATGAATCCTACTATTTGGAGGTTCCTACATTAACCGAGACAACCTGCCAAACGAAAAGAAACCTTTCCCACTCCTCCCGAACTCCTTACTGCCTGCGAGCTGCTGGCACAAGCATCTGCCAGAGGACGCGAGATCGGAGTCCCAGAGACTTGCGCTTACGGATTTGGCCCTGAAACTTCCGCCCCCTCTCGACACCTCGAGGCCCTCAGACTCAGCTCATATACGAGTACCGACACCTTCCTCAACCCCAAGATCCTGAAACTTCAGGGTTCGTGGTCAAATTTGTTCATCTACATGGAATGTTCTCTCACTTGTCGCATGTTTATCGTAACGGCGGCGAGCCAAGGAGGATCACTCAAAGATTTCGCTGTCGGGCTTCAGAAAGCAACTGTAGAAAGCTGAGGCTGGTTTGGGCTCTAAACTTGTTCAGCGTTCAGGGCGGCTGGGGTTTGAGATTCAGGTTTCTGTCATCATTCCAGCATCACCACTGCAGCCAGCAGCCATCAAACAGCGTCCGAAATAGAAGCAGCACCAGCACCAACAGCAATCCTGCTCTTGGGGTTTCCCCGATATGTCTGAGTTTGAGTCCTTTGAGTATCCTCCAATCGTTGATCGACCTTTCGAATCACCTGGGAAAGTGATTCCCAAGTCCAAGTATCATTATGGTATATACTTATAGGGTATTTTGGGGTCTAAGTATATACCATACTGATACTTGGACCCTTTGGGAATGATGGGAATCACCGCATCATCTGGAGCTGCAGCTAAAGGAGGCCAATGCATGCACACAGCATGCGCAGAAGAGGTCCATGATAATCCCTCAACCCCCCAAGATTCTCCACTCAGCTCTATTACTATTGTTATTAGTGCTATCATTAATTTGTTCTTGTTATTGCTAGTAGAATTGCTATTATTCTCATTATTGCATAGACCCCTCATCGGGCCTTTTGACCGCGGCTCCGAACTTTTCCGTTGCAGCAGTTCGTCAGTGCCAACAGTCAACGGCCCCAGGTCGATGTTGCTGTAGTGTGGTATAGAATACTGTACTATACTATAGTATCTGATAGCTATACAAGGAACTATAAGAATGCAGTATGGTATAAAATACTGTACTATGCTATAGTACCTGATGGCTATATAAGGAACTTTAAGAATATAAAAATACTAGAATATCATATGCCTGCGCCATGGCCTCCACCAAATGGTGGCCAATGGTAAGCACCTAGTATTCTAGTACAGTTATTCCCCTATCATTCCTGATACAGCTATGAGATACTAAACTGCACTATAGCATCCTGTACCACCTTGTCATATACCCCTAAGCCCTATTCCAGTCCTTAAGGCGTGACACGTGGTCGGGCTACAAGGCTCGACACGCGCAGCAGGTCTTCGCAGGTCCGCACTAGCATATGTTTCAGCGTTTGACGTCATGTTGCACGACAGTTATGTTGCACGATAGCTAAATCATGTCTTTTTGGGAGAGATCATGTTAGATTATAGTATACGCTGATCTAGTCAAGCCTAAACTGCTCCGCCAATTTTTCTTGCACTGTACAATTTTAGGCGGTTCTACTAATATGCTACTGCACTGAATCATGCTGTACTATGTTCTGCTATGTTATGCTATGTTGAACTATGTTTTACTATGATCTACCATGCTGTACTATGCTGTACTATGTTATTCGATGCTATCCTATGCTATACTGGGTTATACTGCGTTAAACTTTGTTGAACTGTTAAACTAAGACAAACTATAATATACGATGCTGTACAGTGCTATATTCGGCTGTAATTACTATGTTATGCTTTGCTATACTATGCTGGAGTTTGTCATGCTATGTTGTACTATGCTCTGCTATGTTATATTACAGTATGGTATACTATCTTGTGTATGTTATGCTGGGTGACTTTGACATCCAAAGTTATACCATGTCACACCGTGTTATGACCTGCTGCACTGTGACATACTGGGTTCAACTATGTGGTACAATGTTATACCATGTCTTGCTATGCTTAGCTAAAAACTCTTGTACTATGTTATGCTATGTTATGCTATGCTCTACAGTGTTATGCTATTTTATGCAGTGTTATACTATGTCGTGCTAGGTTATACTATGCTATGCTGCTGTATTATGCTGTATATGTTATGCTTTATTATGCTATACTGTTCTATACTATCCTATGGTGCGCCATAGCAAACTATGTTACACCATATTACACCGTACTGTACTACTTCGTAACATTCTTTATCGTACTACAAACTAGAGTATTACACACTACTATACTATATAGTATTTCTTGATACTGTCTAGCATTACAGACTACAATGTAGCAGTCCTCTTTTTACAACAGTGCGCGAGTGGTGGCAAAACCTGATCATTGCAGGGACTGCGATGCCTGCAGCAACACTGAGAAGACCATGGCCGCAGACTGGTTGACGACTCGCGACATCACATCAAGGCTTCGGGGAGATGCCTTCCTCACGAACCACCAGTCGTTTGTTGCTTTGCTTCACAAAAGTAGTGATCCAGCCCTGCGATGGTCCATCTCCTAGCACCAACTTATAGTGCATTCGGACGCCTTGAGTTTCAATTTCAACGACCGTTGCACCACACTGCAAGCGCTGTGGGGCTGTGGAACTGTCCAAACCCGGACCCTGTCGAACCAGCAATCCTCCCGTCTGCTCGCCTCCGACCACGCGCCAACATTGCGGAAACTGCAGCAGAGAAGGTACATCTGCGTCGAGAAGACAGCGAACAGGCTCGGCCAAGGTGACTTTCCGGATGAACCGCACGGTGATCTGGGGTGGCGAACCCAATAAATCATGCAGAAGCATTGACTTCGGATCCCCCAGCCATCGCATCAGCTTTGGGACTTCTGTGTCGAAGAACTTCGCAGGCAAGCCCCATCTCTGCTGCAGAATCGAAAACTTCTCCGCACGAATGATGCCAGGCATTCCACTGGAGACCTCCAGATCAGACTCGAAGTCGTATGCTGCGAAAGGAGGCAAGACCAGTTCACGCTCCAAACTTCCTTCCCTGCTCTCATGCCAACTGAAGAACTGCATTGGGAATGCCCAATCTTCTTGTCGGATGCGGCGAGCAACGAACAATAGAATGTGCTGGTCTTTCTGCGCTAGTGCAGCGATGCTGGTCCCTCTCGATTTGGCATAAAAATGCAACACCTTCCGCACCCCGTCAGCCTCTCGGGAGAATGAATTGAACGATCTCTGCCACGTTGCAGCAGCTTCGTCGACTTCTTTAGGCACCCAGATGCCGCGGAACATCAACTTCTCGCAGGACAAACAAGACCATGAGTCCAGGGTAGATCCATTCAGCGGCCAAAGTTCTCGCAGCTTCCAGACTGCAGGGGAGCGTGCACGAGCGACATGAAAGAGAACTTGCATCGCAGCGATGATTGCGTACACCAAAACGGAATAGGAATGGCCGTCTGCGTCCAAAACGGCGAGCATTTGCTTCACAGACCCCACCGCACCGTCCCTTTGCAAACATCTCATCCTGGACAGCATCTCGTACAAGTGCGGGGAGTTGCGAACGTATACCCCGAAGGGCACATTGACAAAAACCATGTGGTGCGGGGGGTGCAGCATGGTTTGCTCTGATTGGTCTGTATATGTCTCATCACTATCATCCTGGCATACAGATTGGGCATTCCAAAACCACAAGGGTGCAGACTTGACAGCCTGCGACAAACCCACACACCCCTCGCGTAAGGCTTTTTCAACATCCTCAAAAAGTTCTGTAGCTGCTATGCCCCAAGAAGTCTTGTTGCAGCGTGTCTTGACCATATCCATGGACATTTCCAGGAGCAGTTTCGTGAAGTTGTATTTGTCCATGTTGTGGAAAGCAGGCCCAGAAGGCACTTGGTTCAAGAGACTTTCAAGCCTCGTGTACAGCCTGCCGCCCGCGAGGTGCAAGCGCAGCTCTTTCAACATCTCGCAGAAAACGCTTGCTTCCTGGCACCACGCCCTGCCACGCTGCAAGGTCGTGAACAAGTTGCTGTGCACAAAACACTTTGTGTTTGCAAACCCTGGCCTGTGAGCATCGCCTCTGCCGTCCATGCCAGATGCATCGTGCTCGGTCGGTTGTCAGCAACCTTGGCATGAGTTGTGGTCTCAGCGTGGGACCGTCAAACTTCTGTGACCCATACGATGCCAAACACAGACAACCGAATCTAGCAAGCCTGTCGACGGGAGAACATTATTAAAAAAATTGCATGGATCAACTGCAACTTCCGCCACGCACCTGGTCCACCAACATGATCAGAAGCACAGCAATCCCACTTGCCGCCCACACTGCAAGGAGGTCCTGAAAGCTCCACCGTGTCATGGGCCATCAAGCAATAAGCGTGGCAGCAGTGGCAATTGCAGTGTTACGGAAAGTGAAGTCACTGCGGGATGAGAACACGTATGTGCGCTGCGCGCTGCTGGTACATAAATGCATAATTGCGTTGCTTGCCGCAAACAAATGCAATGATGACGGCAGGATGCTTTCTGCGAGCTGGAACGCAAGCCGGTTGTGTGAGAGATCGACCAGCTTTTGTGCGCCTCCCACAAAATTCAGCCTTAGCCGAATGACAGGACGAAGAGACTTTGGTACTACGACATCTTTTTTCTACCAACACCCTGGACTGCGCTTTGTTCCCATGTGGGATAGCAGTCACCCGCGACAACGTTGAAAAATACTTCCATCCTATCAGCGGAGTATGCAAACAAGCGCAATATTCCAGCTTGAAGCTTCGGGGGAGCCCAACGATATTCTCAGATTTGCACACATATCGAATATCTCACACTGAAAATCCAATGGTAAGGTTTAGTCGTAACAGTAAGACGCAGGCGCCAACGACACTGCCGCATCGCCAACTGCTATAGCTTCTGCCTTCGGGACAAGGCCCGTACTGCCAGCGAGCATCAAGAATCTGGAAGGAACGTTGTTGCAAGCGCTAGTTGCGGAGCCAGTGTGATAAAGCCACTCCAGCAGATGCAGGCAGGCGGCTTCGGCGTCCAACGGCCACCAACCTCAAGCCCACGATCAAACGACACCTCCAGCTGCTACGGCGCGCTCAAGGGGAGGTGAACGGGAGGCCAAAACACACACGGTCGATTCGCATTCCACAACAGGAGCCAGCAGAGCCGACAGAAAAAGAGAAGGAAAAAACACGAGGAGCCATAGCTTCCGGGACGAGGGGCTTGTGACATCCACTGAGGCAGCGGTGCGTTGCTGGAGTCGGCCAGCTCATCGCGACAGGAGCACAGATCAGCCTCGCCTACTGTATTATATGCTTCGTCCCTATCCGCAACATGCACGCTTTCGCAACCCAAGTACGCTTCTGCCCCGGCGGGAGCAAGCACCGGGGACAGGTGGCCACACAGCTGTGGGGGCCCAGAAAGGATGCCAGCAAGCGGTCTGCGGCGTTGAAAATTCGAAAGCAATAAATAAAGTAGCACAAGTTTCAGGCAATCCGAACGTGGTGTGTCGGCGGGTCATGGCTGCACCATGCATTCTCGTGGCTGCGGAGAGCAAGAAGCACAGCATGGGCCACCATGGCTGTGCAGGAGCCGCCACGATGCTCGCAAGCTCTCAACGGGAGGGATGTGCTGGAGGAGACCGACATCCTGTGCGGATATTCCGTTGGTCACAGCACCGCTTCTGACGGAGCAGTCACTTGAGCTAGGGCATTGCCAACACAAGTCTGCAAGAGGCATGTCCGAAAACACTGTCTCCAAACTACCCCGATGCCAAGCATGGCATCGGTGGGACATGAAATTAGTGTGTAGAGACTCATGTTTCGAGTGTCGAAGGGCGTGCTGAATCAAGTTACCAACACAACATTCGTTAACGCTCACGAGCTGGTATCACAGTACAACTCAGCAGCCACAAAATTTATACGACCCTGTGCCCCATCATCGGCCTTCGGAATCAATAAAATAAAACGTACGTCGTCCGAGGATCAAAGATCACTCCGAACATTTTCAACGTGCAATCCAAAGTAAGTAATGACCCCCCAAGCCATGCTCAACCGCTCGCGGCTGCCAACAACGTCTTGCATCCCGAGCTGTCCATGAGTTGTAGTACCGCTCCATCCTTCGAAGGTTTGATCCCTCCTACGCCGCTTTCTTGGAATCGCAAGCTAGCTTTTCACGGTACGGATGTTCACGGCAAAGCCTACCTCTCCCGACCGGTGGGTAACACCTTCACACTTCCGAGTCTTCTTGTTGCATGTTGTTGTGCCCTTTAGTCTTTTACGACAGCGAAGAAAGTCCCAAGTCAGCCTACTGGGTGCGGGGCCGTCTGCACCCCACGTTGCGCGCTCAGAGTCGACTGGGCGCCGGGGGCTGGTAGGAGCTCCCCGAGTGGAGGTTCCAGGCCGTCCCTTGGGTCACCAGGCCCCGCGATGGGTAGCTCGAGCAATGAGCTCGCATGCGCGCGTAGGGCGGCGAACGATGCAAGCGTCGTCCAGCGGTGCGTCATGGCTCGCTGCGTTCCGACCGCACACCACGGCGCCCTTTGGCGGGTCCGCGCCTTCGCGAGCAGTCGCAAGAAGGTGAGCGTGTTCGGGCTGATGCGCCCTCCGACCTCGACGCCGAACACGACCAGTCGGCAGCGCCGGGCTTGGCTCAGTTCAGGGTAAGTCCGGCGTTTGCGGTCGACTGCTTGTGCCAAGGCCAGGCCCGGTTGCTGGTCAGCCCGCGGGCAGGGCAGGCCATCCCGGCAGACCGGGCTTACAAGGGTTGCGTCAACGGCGACTTGGGCGCCCTGCCATAGGGGGAGGCGATGCGGCGTCCGTCGCTCGCGGTCACTGAGGGTGACGCGCGTTGCGACGCGGGCACCAGCCTCCGGAGTCCCCCGCAAGCGCAACGTTTCGGGGCGAGCGGGGGGGGGCAGGCGGAGTCTGCGGAGCAGCATCACTCGGAACTCCGCGTCCGGTACTCGGGTGTCGGCGCTCGTAGGAAAAGCCGAATTTGGAATCATCTGGCTGCATGCCCTGGCTCTGTATTGCGAGCCAAAGATCCCTACTGAGCATGCTGCTTTGCGTGCCTGCCATGGAGCGTGCAACCGACAAAACCTGGTGCTGGTGCTTCGATTATCTCGACGACGTGGATGGAGACAGAATGGCGCAGGCGCCTTACCCAGGAAGTTCCAGTCGTGCTGGGCATTCAGACCAGCGAAAGGCTTGCAGGAGCTGTTAAACTCCTCCGCCTCGTAGCCCGATGCCGAGCCCTGGCAGCCATCCGCAATACGCATTTTTGCGCTTCAATAGTCGGCCCTGCTCGCATTCGCCGTTGCCCGCACCTTCGCGGCTAGCTTGCTTTCCCTGCCGCTCCTTGCTCAGCGATCTCCCTCCGGAACCATCGGCATGCCCCCTTTTCTGCGAGCCGCATGCCCTTACAGACTCCGCTGCACTGCCGTAGCCTCTCCCGGGACCTGACCGACACGAGGAAACATAATTTTTAGTTGATCTCGACACGATCTTGAAAAAAATCTTGCAATATCTTGCAATGGTTTTGCACTCTTCGCCTCCAAATCATGAAAGCTGCGGTCCCATCAACACAAGCGAAACCGTTGAGTGTCGTACAACTTGCGTGAAACCGCCCATCGGTAGGGAGGGCGACTCGCCATCGCTTTGGCTTACTGTGAACAAGCTGACGCCACGATTTGGCGCACGGCATGACATCGTCATCAAAACGAATATTCGGCCCAGCCGATCGCCGCCGCCTCGACCTTGTCGTCTACGGGGCTACTCCACTTGGCGAGGCGTTGTGTTGCGACGTTACACTTGTGTCCCCTCTGACGCGTGAGGGACGGGCCCATCCTTCTGCTGCCACGCGCGACGGCGCTGCCATCGTCGTCGCAGAGCGGCGCACGTGTGGCCTACCCTGAGCTGCTGCGACCCGGGCCGCAGCGTCTTTGTGTCCTAGCGCTGAATCCCCACGTCTCCGAGCCCAGCGCGCTTCTGCCGCCCTGCGCCCTGCAGCCAGGCAGGGCTGGCTGCGCCGCTGGTGGGGCCTCTGGAGCGTGGCTTTGCAAAGCACACTTGCTGCCACGCTGCTCGGAGCGCCGTACATCGCTGGCGCCATGCCTGGCGCGCAGCACCCGCCACTCGAGGACGTACTGCACGATGCAGTCCCTCCCAGCCCCAGCCGCCTCGGCCTGTAGCGCGCAGGTTGCACGGGGACTTGGACTTGCGAGTTTGGCGGACGTAAAAAGGTGCGTGAAAAAAAAATGTTCGTCAAATTTTCGCGCGGCACCACCAGATGCGATGCCATGGTCGAGCAACTGCGCCTTCCATAGCCTGATTGCGTGCTTTAGCCCAGCATTACATGGATGGCTGATGAGGTTAACCTGCTTCGCTGAAGTGGACAAGCACGGCTGTCGGCGACAAGCCTTGTTGTTTGTTGTTGCCTCTTGCATTGCTGAGCGATTCACTGGGCAGTGTGCCAAGCCATGCGACCTCGGTGGCTCACTCACTGCCAGAGGCAACGTGCAAAAACTGCCTGCTAACGCCAACTTGCAGCCCCACATACACGGCACGGCCATGGCACGTTTTCATTACTAACAAAAACAGGGGTCGAGCATAGTACACATGCACGCCATGACGCCAAACCGCACTATGCTCCTGTTGATTGCACGGACGTCAAACTGCAAGGCTGCCTTCACGCTTTCCTGCAGTAAATTAAACAGTCTTACCGCTTCACCTGTGGATGTCAAGGACAGTCGCGAAGCATGGCCCGTCAGCAAGCACCTCGGGAAGGTGCTTTTGACAAAGCTGCAGACAACGTTGTTTTACTGCGAATCCACAGCCATCACACACGGAAGGCTGGCTGCATCCTTCCGATGTCTTTTTCTTTTTTCTCGACCAGACCAGTACAAACGGGATCCCAGTGCACCTGCAGTATACCTGGTGGCGGCAGCCTAGGTCCGCAGCGGGCGCCGGCTGGGGGCAGGGGCATGCAGCCAGCTTGTCGCGCAGGACCTCATTCGACGGTGTCGAGAGGAAGCTCCAGCAAGGAGCCGGCGAGGACCCTCTGCGCTGCGACGGCGATGACGCTGCTCCAGCGAGACACATAGGCCGTCGAGCCAAGAGGCCCAGCACGCGGCATGGCGGTCGGCGGTTGCCGAGCGCAGCCCAAGGCCGCCGAACCCAAGGGCAAGCTGCGAGGTCCGTACTGCAGCAGCTGGGAGCTGATCGCCGCTGAGGGAGCCGAGGCAGGTCGCAAGAGCGGCGTCGCAATCTGCAGCGAACTGGGCTGTGAGTGCGGGCGGGACGTTCCGCAGGAGGTAGGGTGTGGCGCAGTAGTGCAGTAGCAGCCACGCCGCCTGCAAGTCTGGGACCTCGGGGATGCGGGTGAGGAGGCGATCGTGCTGTGCCCGCTTCGCGGTGAGGATGCCGTGGACGTACTCGTCGGTACCGAGCGGCGTGCCGAGGACGAGAAGGCCTTGACGGTCGCGTGGCACAGGCCAATCCCCGTCGAGGCAGGCAAAGATCGCCTCGCCCTCCCGCAGTTGCGCGTGAACGGCTGCGAGGGCGGGGTGTTGAGCGATGGCGTAGAGGGCAGGCATATGCGGGTCGCCTTGTTCGCCGCCCTCAGACTGCCGCACCTCGTGGTGCTGTCCGCTAGCGTCCTGCCACACGTACGTGCTGTCGGAAGCATGGAAATATTAAATAGCGCATGTACGGCAACAGCGGCCGCAAGCTGGGTCTTTGCTTGAGGCCAGCAAGCATCGCATGGCGCGACACATTGTCGAACGCCCCGATGGACAGCACAGTGGCACGCGGGTCCACCGTTTGTTTATACCCAAGGAGCTCCGCGGGTGCTCGGCCGAAGCAGCCCACCGATCCAGCCGCCAACTGCGACCAACAAGGCCGGCACAACAGAGCTAACCTCAGGAAAAGCAGCAAAAACACTTTGGTCGCAGTGCGACGGGCCACCTGCTTCCACACGGGATAGGAAAAATGGCAAGAAAAAGGCACCGCCGAAAAGTCACACTTCCGGACTGTCTTCAGTTCTATGGGACGCATACAGAGCAGCTCTCAACTGGAGCTGTCAGCATGCAGCGCCCTTAGCTTGCACAACCATTGGTCGACGAGGACAAGACCAATACGCCGCAGCACTGGCAGAGGACAAAGCTCCGCATTCCTTTATGCTTCCAGGTATGTGTATATACCTTATGCCCATTCCGAAATCAGCTTCTATCAAGCTCTTAGGCCCGACGAATGATCTTAGCAAATACGTCTCAATAATACTCAATAATCTCGAAAAGGACATCCGTGCCGACGACGTGAAACATCTCATCCATCAAGCGCGTGTGCATCGACAAGTCGTGATCATGTTTCTACTTCTAAGGGCGGTGGGTTAATAAGTAGATACATAAGTTAGTAATCGATTGTACAGTTTAGTGGGGATGGCTAGTCTAACATAGCAATTGACCTAAGTGCAGTTAGCAAGGTACAATTACAGAAGTTAGCCAAACACAGTTAACGAAGTTAGCATTTTACTAACAGCACCTTAAAACCATGATGATGCCCATGAGGATGATGAAAAATCCAATGTCGCAATGCAGGGCGATTCGCTCGCAGGCAGGATCAGAACATGAAAACTGTGACAATTCATGTGTCGCCATGCAGGGCGATTCGCTCGCAGGCATATATGCACAACAATCTTTTTTATGGCACGACCAGCATGCTGTCTGCACTCATGCGTTTGAAGAGGCAGGTTCGACTGATCTCGGCCACTCGCATGAACTGGGCTCCGTCCTGCTTGACCCGGAAGAGATTCTTCCCTTGTGGCTCAAGCACACTCAACAGAGCCAGGAGCTCGCTATGCTGCAACCGGCAAAACAACCACACCTCTGCAACGGACCCCGTCTTAAGCAGCACCAGGTCACCCCTCTCGCAAGTCTGTCCTGGGCAGACCTCGGCCTGCATGGCCGACTGCACATGCTCAAGAGTCTGAAACCCGAATGTCTGCCCCAGGTGCCACAGCAAAGTGCCATCAGTGACAGACTTGGGGGACTTCAAATGGGGCCGCATGAAGCCAGCATGCTCAGACAGATCCAGAAGAGCCCTGCCCAAAACATCTTTAAAGAGTGAAGCTTCGAACCAGTCGGTCACTTTCTTCGTGTTGTCAGCAAACTGCTTCACTTGCCGATGCTTTCGTTCGTGTGTAAAACAGGAAATCAGAGGCCTGTCTCGAGCCATCAGGGGAAGATGGAGGCTATAGTGGAACTTCGGTATACAGTGCTGCTCTCCATATGCTTTAAGGAAAGCTTGGCTATGGGCCCGAATCGCATTCTCGAGCTCGTCCGGCGACAGGTTCCCAGTCCGATTGCATTCAAGCAGGAGGTCGAGAACCATACAAATCTTCATAAAGGATCTGATGCATCGCCGAAGTTCGTCGTCCATTGTGTCAAAGTGATGAGTCAGCAAGAAAAGCCGCAGCAAGGGATAGACAGTGATGCACTGCGAAGCACCGGCCTTGAACTCAGAAGGTTTGCTCCTTTTGTCGAACAAATGCAAGATTTCTCTTCTCCGGTTCTTCAGGTTGTGAGGCCATTCGTACTCTGAGATAAAGCTCTGGATCACCTGAAATGTTGCACCCTGCACATGCAAGAGTGGCAAGAGTAAGCTCAATTCCACGTGCAGGAGGCCGCTTACCACATAACAATGCATCCAATCCCACATCAAGCATTTCACAAGCGGCATGCTTTTGTGAGCAAGCACTCCACATGGGTTGAAGTTCAAGCCCATGCTGGACTCGAGCAAGGAAAAATCCTTCTTGCTCAGGATGGGTTGCCTTCTCGCCAGCAGTGCCTGTGCAGTGAAGATCTGATTGTCGGTTCTGCGGACAAACAGATTGCTGTCGATGCATGATATGTCATGCAATTCTCCCGAGTGGTCATTTGCTGGCAGATCACCGTGGGTCTTGCTTGTTATGTTGGCACATAGCGGGCAAACCAAAGTCCCACTGGAGCCCTTGAAGTCGTACATAGATTTCAAAGCTGCCTCGTCTGCAACTACAGTATGCAGTTTCGCGAAGAACATGACCCGTTCCCCAGTTGGCATGTTCAGCAAACAACCCGACTGGAGGTTCAGGAACGATTCCGAGGAGACCAGAATGTGGGTGAGTGCAGACAGCCCGCCCTGGATCTTGTTGACCACCGAAGACCGAGTCAAGTTCAAAGGGAACCAAAGGTTTTCTTGGCATCGGCCTTCGGCGTCAAACTCGACAAAACTGAAGTAGTACCCTTGGATCTTCCTGGTGTTGCTGGCTTTTAGTTGGTTGCCAGGACTAATCTCATCATTGTATAAAGCCATGCGCCATGGGCTGGTTGCTGTGCACGGGTAAGTACTTCGATAGCTGCCTTTGGAAAAAGGCAGCTACACCAGGCATGGACTGGCAAACATGCCATATCCATGCCATCAGGTTGAGGATCGGCAGCTCTGTCGGCACGATCTTCACCTCCTCGTCTCCAGCTGCCTTTCGGCTCTTCACCTCCACAGGTACTGTAATCTTGGCCACCAAAGGGCCATGAGGAGTCTCTGCCTCCAGCTCGGAATCCCGTGCCCTTTTGATGCCTCGCCGGGAGGCTGAGTCAAGGACTTCAGGGCATGCAGCCACTTCCTTCAGTACTGCCTCCAGAGCACTCTGGCTCACATAGTGCTTTCTGCCGATGGTAGCGAGCGACATAGATTATAAAGATGGCTGCCCGCGAGCAAAATGCCCTGCAGGCACCGGATATTAGAAGTAACAATTCTTACAATAAATATGTTTGTACATACAACATGTGTCAACCTGTCTATAAATCCTTGTCCCCACGAAACCTTCTTCAACACAACAAAAACCTCTGGATGCACGTATGATACAATGTATGCACACGATCTAATACAACTAATTTCTTATAATGGCTGGACTATATCTACCAATATATAATATCACGTATATATATATATATAATATATATGTATATATATATATATATATGTGTGTGTAAGTATGTAATATACATACATATATATATATATACATATATATATATATACAGGAGATATTTATACTTGCAATGCAGCATCAGACCAATCTGCAAGCCGATCCGATCACTCAGGTTTACATGCTGCCTGGCAAGACACACACACATGCAGCAGAAGAGGCAACATGATGTGCATAAGTGCATGCCTGCATGATGATCTTTTCCTCCCTCTGTGCTGCAGTCGACGAGTTCCCCACTCATCGAGCCGGTCATTTGAATCGGGCAAGCAGCTATTACTTACAGAAGCAGCTGGGCCTGCAGCCTGGTGCGAATCTGCATTTGCTGCAACCATTCGGGCGAAGGCTCACCCTTTTCTTCATGGAAAGATTGGCATAGTATTCTCTGCTACCGGCCGGGGCGGCTTTGGCCTTTGCACTGGCCTTTGCACTGGCCTTTGCAACGGCCTTTGCACTGGCCTTGGCACTGGCCTTGGCACTGGCCTTACTGGCTGCCTTTGCTTTGGCATGGGCTTTGGCCTTTGCCTTTGCCTTGGGCAAGCCTGCAGGCTTCTTAAGAATCCCCTTCTTCTTGTTGACTGCATCTGCAACGAGCCCAGCCTGCCTCAACACTTCTGCCTCGTCGGCCTCGTCGTTTTCAGGATCACTCATCTCCAACTGCACTGCCGGCGAGACACCAGCTGATGCATTCGTTGCCGCCACAAGTGCTGTTTGCTGGACCGATGCAGATGCCCCTGCGGGTGCCTGCTGGGTTGCTGCTGCAGGTGCCTGGGTTCCTGCTGCAGGCCCCTGGCCCATGGTGGTTGCCCCCGCTTGACCTCCACCGGGTGCGAAGTACTGCATGTTCGGGATCGGGTCCTGCTGCTGCTTATTCTGGTCCTGCATGAGCCTCTGCATCATGTTGTTCATGGTGTTCATCATACCCATCATCGTCATCCCGGGCTGCATGCCTTGCAGGCCCATGTTGAATTGCATGTTCATGGGGTTGTTGTTGCCACTTGCACACACTGCAGGCCAGCTCTGCATGCCACCGGCACCCATCATGTTTCCACCACGAAGCTTCTTCGAGCTCCCTCTCAACACGATTGCAGATGATGCTGCCTGCACCCTGTCGGGAGATTGCATCTGCACAGTGCATGCAGGATCCTCTTGAGAGTATGCATCGGCGAGCTCAGGGGGCAGATTGTCTGGCGATGCTGGAAAATGCTCGAGGTGAAAGCCATTCCTGGGCAAGCCTTTGGCTTTGCTTTTCAGCATTTTCTTGAACAACTGCTTGTTGGCATAGCTGTCAACCGCCCCCACATCACCGCCTGCCCTGGCCAAGCCAGCTGCCAAGATCGCTTTGCAGCAAGCCTCAGATGGGCAGGTGAGCCTCAGCTTGATGCACCGGCATGCCAAGACATCCAACTTCACGTGGATGTTGTCACCAGCTTCCAAAGCCTGGATATCTTTGACGGACAGGTAAGGTTCGAAAGCATCAACTTTCTGAGTAGCTCTCTTGCCACCCTGACCTGTCCCGGTGTTGGTTCTAGCTACTGCTCCAGCCAAGAGATCACTGAACTCCTTTGTTTGTTGAGAAGTCCATTGCTTTCCTGCAGTCCATGCAGCCAGCAGGGCTGAGGCTCCATTTGCATCCACGGAGGCAAGGTTCTTCACTCGCTGGCAAAGGGCTTTTGCTTGCACCTCTCTAACACTGTCGTAGTTCGGGAGTGCAGTCATGGACTGGAGAAAATTGGCTGTAGCAGCCAAATCCCCCTTCAACTGATCCATGGCTGTGGCAGCAGACATGTCGATCTGTTTGCGAGCTTGAAGCCCTGCAACCGATCTTTGCAATCAATCCTTTTGAGCCTTGCTTGGACATATCGGCGGGCCAGGTTCGCGAAATTTTGGATTCTCTCTCTCTCTCTCTCTCTCTCTCTCTCTCTCTCTCTCTCTCTCTCTCTCTCTCCCCTCTCTCTCTCTCTCTCTCTCTCTCTCTCTCTCTCTCTCTCTCTCTCTCTCTCTCTCTCTCTCTCTCTCTCTCTCTCTCTCTCTCTCTCTCTCTCTCTCTCTCCCTCCTCTCTCTCTCTCTCTCTCTCTCTCTCTCTCTCTCTCTCTCTCTCTCTCTCTCTCTCTCTCTCTCTCTCTCTCTCTCTCTCTCTCTCTCTCTCTCTGTTTCTGTCTCTGGCTTTTGCTTCTCCTTCTCCAAAGTATATATATATATATATATATATATACATATACATATATATATATATACATATGTATACATATATATATATATACATATATATACATATATACATATATATATATATGATAGTTCCGTATACAGACTATATACACCCG